CACTTTTACTTGTTTGTAGCCCCACCCTTTCGACAGCTCTGCTTTCCCTGAAAGAAACGGCAGATATGCACGAGAAAAAGCGCGACCGCAAAATCTGAAACTCGCACAGCGCATCCCTTTCAGAAATCCATTGATTAGCAGCATGAAAAGGAAGGAACATATCTGTTTTGCCTATTTGTGGCTTGAATTATCGCCGTGGAAAGCCTGGAGACAGAATCGGTGGCTGCACACATCACATTCTAAAGGGTCCCGATTTGTTTTGGGATTTTTTCCCGTTTTGTTTTGGGATTTTTCCTGGATTTTCTGTCTTGGAACTGGCAGGTGCGATCTCCCTTGGTTCTTCTGTGGTTTGACTCGTTTTGCACCAGCGCTGTCAACATCCCCGACATCGTTTTAACTCGGCAGCATCCTTTTGGGGCTGGTTTAGGGTGAGTTTAGAGTTGGTTTAGGCTGTGGTTGCGTTTAGGTGGGATGGTTTAGTGTTGGTTTGGTTTGTTTTGGGGGGTAGGGAGCGGTTGGTGTCGCGTTTGCCTTGGGCTTGTTAAGGGTTTAGTTTGGTTTTAGTGCTGGTGTACGGGGGGTAGGGATTGGTTTTGAGGTTGCTTTAGGGAGCTATAGGGTTTGCTTAGTGGGGGTGGTTTGAGGTTTGAGGTGGGCTTATTAGCAATGGCTTTGTGCTGGTTTAGTGCGCATCGTATGATACAAACCCACTCTAAACCAGCATCAATACCGAATAATACAAACTTAGTGCAGACTTATGGTTGGTTTGGGTGGGTTTCGGGTGGGTTTCGGGATTTGTGTTTGGGGTTTAGGGTTGGATTAGGGTAGGTTTAGAGTTGAGGGATAGTCTCTTGCTGGTTTAGAGTGGGTTTGTTTAGAGTTTTCTTTAGGGAGTTTTGCTGGTTTAAGGTTTTCTTTAGGGTTTCTTTAGGGTTGGCTTTTAAGGTTGGTTCTAGTTTTAGTGGTGGTTTGGGTGGGTTTCGTGGTGGTTTAGGGTTGGTTTAGGGTCTTTTTTGGCCCAACACGTGAGTTTAGGACCGTGGGCGTTGGATTCATTGGGGTTCGTTGCCTACGAAGAAGCGGGGCGGTTGGGGGGGGCGCAGCCCCCCCCATCTACAGAATCATGCGAGGGAAGAAGCCACCAGCCAAAAATCCAAAAAGCCAAAAGGCGGTGATGCTGGGGTGTTGCTGGTGATGCTGAGGATGCGGAAAGCCGAAAAGCCAAAAGCCAAAAAGCAAAGAAGCCTACAAGCCAAAGAGCCCAAAAGCCAAAAAGCAAAAAAGCCAAGAAACCAAAAAGCCACGAGCCAAAAGCTAAAAAGCCCAGACTCCAAGAAGACAAAGGCCAAAAGCCAAGAAGCTAAGAAGCCAGATAAGGCAAAATCCAGGGAAAAATCCCAAAGAAAAACGGGAAAAATCAAAAAAATAAATAGCCCTCCCATTCTAAATGCCAAGTGTATACACCGTCGACTCCCGTTTGCGGCTGGCTCGTTTGCTGCTTGCTCGTTTGCTCGTTTTGCGGCTGGCTCGGTTCCTGAATGATCTGCGCAAACAAGTTCGAGTCCAGAAGTTGTTTGGCCGTTAAGATCGTTTCGAGCCAGTTTCTGGACACTTGGGCGGAGTGCGCCTGAAACCACCGCTGAACGTGAGAAACAACAGGCAGTCAGTCTGCCTTAGTTCCCTCATTTCCCCTGAAACACCAACCAAAGGGAAAATCCCTTCAGGTTGGCCCAGCAAAAAAGGATCATTGAAAAGAGCCAAAGGGGAAGTATGCTCTAGCCATCACTTTTACCATGGATTCCCCAAGTACCCAAAAAAAACCCAATAAAAACCTGAAAGCAATCCATGAAAACCGAGGTCCGAATTGGCAGCTCTCCTGGATCTTCCAGATGCAGATGTAGCCGTCGTCACCCCCAGTGGCCAGCAGCCCTGTGACCGAGGACAGGCGGCTCAGGCAGGTCACGTCATCTGTGTGACCCTGACCACTGAAGTCCTCCAGGACGTACTGCGGCTCCACTGTCCTCGGTAGGGCCACTGAACGGGACTAAGCGGTTAGTATGCATGGTTATAACCAGGCACTAAGTACAATGCCCTTTAAGCAAACATCTCCTTCAAAGGCGAAAGGGGGTTTCCTTCTGGTTTCCTTTGCCCCCTTGCGAGCACAACCGGCTCAACTAGCACTTGGACCAAAGCTACCCCAAAAAGGGTTTTTCTCTTTTGCCGGCCAGTAAAAAACAACAACTTGGCGCCACACCCTGCCCAAAAGCAATGCACCTTGGCGGGTTGGAACATATTATCATATAGGTTGTCCTAAAACGAAGGCCCAACAAGGTCCACCCGAATAGCAACAAGCACGCAGCGAACGCTTCATCAAGCGTCTGCTTCCGGCTGTCTGGCCACACGTAAAGGCGCCGATCCCAAGCTAGACCAACCTGGGAGCAGGTTGAGGCCAGGCCCGGGCAAAACACCTTGCCCTATACTCATGGGATTTGAATGAAATATCCCCCAAACTGGGAACATGGCATGAGCCCGGAATGGGGCTTGAGTCGAAGCCCCTTCACCCCAAACATGTGCCAAGTGCAAAACCCCAACCTTTCCCTTTCCTCGATTCCCGTGCCCTACTTTTGTGCCGACAATCCTGCTTCTTCGAGGCCAGCTTCCAAGACTATTTCGCCCACCCGCAAGCGGCGCACACGGCACATAGAGTCCATTCGTTGGGTAAAAACGGCCCTTCGATACGGTTGTTAGGGCGGGACCGGGAAGGAAACAATTCATGGTGCCAACAGTACTTTCAGCATTGTAAAGTGCAACATACAGGTTTGGCTGCCCCGATAGGTCTAACATGTCTAACATTGTCCTTGTTGGAGCTTGAACAGCGAATTTGCATGGACCAGCCAAGCCTTGTGACACTGCGGGCTAAGCCAAGACGCCACGAAGTTGTTCGGGCCCTCCCTGGCCCACAGAAGGCTGCGTATCTCGGAAGGCTGCCTCAACGCCCCACCCCTTCCCCAAGCTTGACTGGCTGGAAAATGGAAACTAACTCCGCCGACTGTCCGCTGACGCCTGTCAGGTCTCCCTTGGCCGACCCTTGGTTGCATGTTCGTGGGATGCGCCGGGCAAGAGTAACAGAGCCCACAAAGATCGAGCATGCAACAGACGGGATACGACACAAATGAGCCCTCCAATTCACCGCAAACGCGCCTCAGCGAACCAAGCCGGACCACGCAAAGGCAATTGGGCAAGCAACAATCCGCACGCACTTGCGAAAGGTCGGGTCAAGCAAAACGGTTTTCTACATTACTTCACTCAAGGGACAATTGTCATTGGCAACTGTTGGGTGATGCTGAACAATTATCTTGGCAAACGGAAACCTGGACATTTGGCTCACTTGTCCAAAAGGGCCGCGGATATCGGGCTCATCCTTTATATTGGACCATGCCGACCACAAGCTGGGCAGCAACATAATGCACGTGCCTACCTCATGAAAGCGTGACAAAACATTGGATTCGGCATGGACCTTGGGCTGATCAGCCCAAGCCTCAACCAGCAACCAGCTTCCTGTGAAATTTATCAGTCATAGTGCTTGAAAACCTCGTACATGCGCGTGTGTGTCTGTGTGTGTGTGTGTGTGTGTTCCTCTTGCTCATGCCTGAAAGGCAGCCAATTGATACCTTAGCAAAGCTAAAGTCGAGCTGGCGTTGTAGCAAATGTGTGTGTGTCCCCTGCTCCTTTTGCCCACTGAAAGCCGGGGTTGAACAACTGCATCATACCCATCTACCTTTGGCCCCCTTCTGGTCGCCAACCCACAATCGCCGAACCCCCCGTCCCAAGCCCCCCCCTCTTCCCCCCTCCCCCTCTTCCCCCCCCTCTTCCCCCCCCCCCTCTTCCCCCCCCCCTTTTCCCCCCCCCCCCCCCCGGTTCCCCGGTTTTTTCTCTCCACCCATCGCGGGCGCCTCATGGTGTAGCTGCGGAGCTGTTGGCCCGAGGAGAAGTTCCAGAGTTTGATGAGGCCATCCTCGCCGCCGGTGTAGAGACACCTCTTGGGCTCGTCGAAGGCCATGCAGCTCATCTTGTGGTCCTGGTCAAGGAATTCTCCAAGTTGACCACTCCGCTAAGGACTTTTTATTATTTGCATTTTTTGCTTTGGAGGGGGGGTAGGAGGCAAGTTTGAGGTTTTTTTTTTTGAGGAACCCAAAAAGCGTAGTTTTAAGGGGTTCATGGCAAAGGAAGGGGTGTTTGACCAACGCACATGTGCTGTCGGAGATGCAGCATGACTTGGCCCGTCTGAGAGCAGCGGTTGATTACAGGCTACGTGATGTTCCAATAGGGGACCTGGTGGTGAAACAAACAGGTTTGTGGTTGGACAAAACAGGGGACCACTACGTAACTGACAAGGTGCTTGGGGGTACGACCGATGTTTGATTGTCTGTATTGAACCCTCTTTTAGGCTGAAAATTCAAGGACCCCCCCTCTATGACTGAAGGACTCTCAATGAGAGGTGTCCCTCCATGTTCAACCAGAAAGGTCACTGCAGGGTCTGCATATATATATATATGTATCTATGTGTGTGTGTGTGTGCGTGCGCAACAAGTATACATATATACACAACATGTATATATACATATAGAAACCCGCGCCCAGCTGATGCGGGTGGTGCAGCCTCGCCTGGTGCGCTCGCCGAAACTCGAACTCCAGCTTCCCAGTCTGCACGTCCCAAACAGAGATGGTGCCCATGTTGTCCCCCGAGATGACCTGGTCGTAAGACGTCGCGAGTATGAAGATGTATGAAGATGGCTCACCTACCCCCAAACGACCACCCCCACACAAAAGGGAGAGAGAGAGAGAGAGAGATATACATATATATATATATACACACCCTTTAGACAGTATTATAGTAGGGATATAGTAGTTGCACGTCCCACTTTCTGAGGGCAATGGCTTGGGGCTAGTAAAAGCCATCTTAAAACCCCCGCCACCTACTGTGAGACCGAACTAGGTACCAGGACTTGTTGGTCAGTTGAAACGGGATTCCCCTGGCACAAACAAATGCAAAAGCCATCGTCAATGTTCAGCCCTGAACTTACGACTGACATATTCTCCATTTATCATCACTACTTCAGTAAAGGGCAACACCTTCTGCAAGATGTTACCAACACCTTCTGCAAGAAGGGATCCCCAAATGAAGGACCTACTTGGTGAGCTCATACCCCCGAATCGGCAGAACCGCTCGCCGATTTATTCAGAAGCCGCCCACAAACCCCCGGCAGCCCCACGTTCCCCACGTCCGGACCTGGTGGAAGACGTCGTTGTAGAGCGCCCCCACGATCGGCGCCAGGTGAGTGCGACTCGTCTCCACCTAAAGGCCAACGCAAGGCCACTGTGCGCGTGCTTCTGGAGGGTAGCCATTCGGGGGGTAGGGATATCAACAGGAACGCTGCCATTTGGCGGCCCCATTTTGACACTTGTCATCATATCCAAATGAATTACCCAACACCATTCTCACTTGCTCAGGCCCAGAAATCAAGAGACCTACTGAATTGACCGGCCCGGAAAAACTCGAGCAGCCAGCCCCAATTAGGGGGCCGCTGGTGACTCCGCAAGCTGAATGGGAGCTTGAAGTTCAAATAAAATCACCGCAATTCAGCGCAATTCCTTTCATGCAAGCCAGCTGGAATTTCATGAATACATGCCAGGGCTACCCTTGCCACTAACAAAATGCATCGAATATTAGTTTCCTGCTGAAGTGACCCATTTCCGTGCCAGTCAACCCCTCCAACCACCCCCCACCAAACCCTCCCATCTCACCCATCTTTAAGGAGAAGCCCACCCACCCGTCACTCGCCTTGACGCTCACGGGCAGCACATTTAGCAGGCTCGAGCCCAGCACCAGAGCCGGGCCCTCCTCGTCGAAGGCCATGCACGTAAGCCGGTCCTCAGGCTTGTACTCCGTCTTGTCCGTGAAGGTCTGGATGCATTGGTAGTTCAGAATGTCCCAGACCTGCAAAATAGGCATGGGTCAAAACCCAAATCGCACCCCCAGTGAACATCCCGATCCAACCACTAAAATAGGTTCTAAAATGCGTGGTGCACCTATCCCAAAATGGTACCATTGGTTTTGAACCATGGCCAAATGAACCCAAAAACCTTTGGTCCCTTGCCGGTTCCCAAGAAATCGCTTGAAAGAATGGCAGGGGGACACGCGGAACCAACAACCCTTGGCTTCGGTTCCTTGCCAAGGGGGCCCAGTTTGGATGACAATGCTGAACGGCAAACAATGGTCATATGAACCTAACCGTTGTTTTCATGGTTGTCCCAAGCCTCCAACAAGCACAAGGTGAACACGGATCTTTCAGTGGATGATTCCGACTCAGACTTAAGCAGCTTTCAACATGCCCAGCTCCACACACAACTTGGGTCATGCTGTCACGGGGACAAAGAAGCCAAAGTCGAAAGCCTCCCAGCAAGATCTGAACACAACTCCTCAGACATGCAGAAGAACCATAGAATCATTCCACACCGCTGGTGCTTGTGCAGTTCAAGATGCCTCCCCAGGTAAGATGAGGTCTGGCGCATTGATTCTGGTGCTGTGTGCAGGAATGAATACGGCCCAGAAAGTCCCAAACAGTTGGCACGGGCCAAAATCTGCCCTGGTTACCGGCAGTGCTATCAATCAGCTTTACCGGGATCATGCGAGTTGCCAAACATGTACGACTCGGTTGCGACATGGAAGCCACACAACGAAGCTTGGCTGACTGATTACTTGGTGGGGGTGCCCCCAAGACGTAAATATGGCAAGAGGTCATGCTGTTCGCCCCGTGCTTCCCAGGGATTGTCTGCAGCTCGATAAAAGATCTCGTTTCATGGCTAGTCACATGGTTCATGTCCTCGAAATCAGGAGCATTCACCGCGAATTTGAGTGGGACTTCGCCAGGCATCCTTGGCTAGGCCTGCTTTATTCAAGCCTGTTTCCCCTGACAACACTCCCTACCAAGGCAAACTCACTGGGGACCCCTTGGCGGGAAGAACACCTTGCCGAACATGGCAAGCCACAAGTGGTCTTTGCAATGTCGAATCAGCCCCTTGCAAGCCTTGCGCATCCGTCTGGAGCAAACTGATGGGATCAAGGCGAAACCTCTTCCCGCCCAAAATTTGCGGATCCTTGACCTTGCCGCCCTAAGCCCAAACCAGCCTTGACCACCTTATCCACTGACATGGAAATCAGCTGGTGCTGACCTTAGTTGCTCGGTGACAAATTCTGCAAACTGCCCCCCCCCCCCACATGGTGGCTCTCGCTGCTGGTGGGAACGCTGGAAAAGAAGAAAACGGCTTGCCACTGAACCAGCAGACTTTCGTTGACCAGCACATCAAAGACCGGGGCGTTGTGTCCTTGCAGATAGTTCATCGCCTTCTGAGTGTAGGGGTTCCAAATGATGATCTGCCGATCAGAGCCCCCTGAGGCAAAGAACTTGTAGCTTTTGCACCAACACCAGGAGTAGACCCCCTTCTTGTGCAGCCGCACTGGGTCCCTGCCCTTCCGCTGATTCGTGTGAATGTCACAAATATTGATGTCTCCATCAAGGCTGCATGTGACCATCGCTTGGAGCTGCGACACGAATCCCACCTTTGTAACCCAATCTTTGTGGTACTTGAAGCGGGAGGATTTCTTGACCTCAGGAAGTTGGGCTTACCCCCTCAACTTTTGAACATGATCGAGCCAGCCTTGTTCAAACCACCTCCTTTTGAAATCCCTTGAAAGGGGGGTCCAGGGTCTGGTTGTTGAAAAAAAACAGATGTTGCAGGATCCGAACCTTCATGCCGTCACTGTCAGGCTTCCCGTCAGGCTTGGACTCCTGATCCACCCAATCGTTGGCATCCAATGGAAAAACCGAGACGTAGCCCTTGGCGTCGCCCACCATGAGAATCTCCTTCTCCATGCTCTTGTTCTCGTGGGATTCAGTGTAGCCCAAACACAGGGGCGTCCCATCCTTGTGGTCGATGTGGCTGACGGGGTTAAAGGAACTGTCCTCACCGAAGGGCCAGTTCACTGCGAACGGCCCCTGGCAACACGCCAGCCCCATTGCCGCGAGTATTTGGAACAATCCCAGGGCACAGAGGCCGCAGGCGGGAAAACAGGTCAAACTCCCTGTACTCAGAAAATCATTGGGCTGTTGCTCTCCTTTCAGTTCGACACGGTCGTTCATTCTGTTCTGATTTTACACCTTGCTTAACCCCACGATCAACCTGTAAGCCAACCAAACAGCCAACCACACCGCCAGTCATTGCCAACCTGCCAGCCATACTGTGGATGGACGAAATCCTGCGCCACTTTGAAACCATGTTTGAAACCATTGTTTGATGGTATTTACAGGGACATCGAATCATTTCAGGGCTTGTTAGGTGGTGCGAAATGGATTTCGTAACTATCCACAGTGTCCACAGTGTGGATGGACAAAATCCTGCATTCTCTAAGAGACCCTGGAATGATCTTTCCCCTGTAGATGCCAGCAAATTATGGTTTCCCATAGTATCAAAATGTATCAAAGTGGTGCAAGATTTTGTCCATCCACAGTTTGGGGCCAAGCGTCGTAGAAGAAGATCCGGAAGTTGGAGGAGGCCACCGCGAGCTTCCGACTCTTCTGCATCCAGCAGCAGGCGCTGAGCCAGCTGGAGGTGTTGCCCACGTCCACGGCCTTGTGCAGCGTCAGGTTGGGATGCCACACCTCGATGCCCCGCAAAAAAATGGGCCACCCTTCCCAACCCCCCCCCCCCCCACCCCCCCCTCCCCCCAAAAAAAAGAACACAATCCAATACAAACGCCTCTGGCAGAGGTGTTTTCCTTTTTTCTAGGGCTGGTTTTCCCTAGGGCTGGTTCTCCGCAGAGCTAGCAACATCCCCTGCATCACCACCCTGACTTGGCCTGGGGTTGCCAATTGGCTTTGGTTGGGTCGCAGTCAGGAGTTGCTGGGGGCTGGTTTAAGTTAGGGGGGGGGTTGGGTGGCTTAGATGGGTTGTCTGGGGTCGGCTTAGGCAAAGCGAAGAGCTGACATCCAGGCTGCTGTTCTGCGAGTTTAGGGTTGACTTTGGATGGACTTAGGGTTGGCTTGGAGCTGCTTTGTGTTGGGTTGCTTTTTGAATGTGGTTACGTGAGTTTTGGTCTCGTTTAGGATTGGTTTTGGAGCGTTGCCCCAAACCACCAAAACTCGCCCGCAACTCACGCAACCGCGTTCCCAACTCCCAACTGCCTCCCAATCAAAGCCAATTGGCAACCCCGGGACAAGTGAGGCTGGTGATGCCAGGGCTGCGGCAAGCCAACCAACCAACCAACCAACCAACCAACCAACCAACCAACCAACCAACCAACCAACCAACCAACCAACCAACCAACCAACCAACCAACAAACCAACAAACCAACAAACCAACAAACCAACAAACCAACAAACCAACAAACCAACCAACAAACCAACAAACCAACAAACCAACAAACCAACATACCAACAAACCAACAAACCAACAAAGCAACAAAGCAACAAAGCAACAAACCAACTCAGTCCTAGTAAACCAGCCCTAGGAAAACAAAAGCACCTGATCCAAACAGGCCCCCCCCACCAAAAACAGGAGCAAAGAGTAACCAGCGGTGGCTCGACCGATCCCGCAACTGCCACATGCGCCTTGACGAAGCCGTCGCGGCCCGCCGTGACATAGCGCCGGGTGGAGCTGCTGCCGTTGGTGGCGGTGCCCAGGTCCGGGACCACCACGATGCCTAGGAACAACTCGCTGGCTTCTCACTCCCACCCTCATGCCTGCAAGAATTTCCCACAAGTACCTCATCTACATATATATGTATACATATATATATATATATATTTATAATATATATATATACATATATGTATGTATAATATATATATATATGTATATAGTATACCTCATCGGAAATAGGAAATGAACCCAGGGATGCCCTGAAAGCGTTTAAAGGAAACCCACCAGTTGGATGGTTAGCGGCTCTCTCAGCTTCCCTCTAATTGAAGCAGGTACATGGGAAATCCCTCCGGAAGACCACCAAACCACCGGGCTACAAACCACCAATTAGAGGGAAGCTGTTTTTTAGTAGGGAAGGAATCAACAGGGGGTTTGGGCTGGGGGATGCCCTAGGAAAACGCCCGTTGGATGGTTTATATGGGTCGTTCCAACTCATTCTCTTCTGAGTACCAGCACGGGCAGGAACTTGTTTAGAGGGCCGAAGGATCTTTATTAAACAAAAACATGGGGCCTGCATTGGGTTTGCTCTACAAACAAGCGAGAAAAGCCACAGTTTTGTTTCACAAGCCCAAGTTTTTGTTTCACAAAAACCTGCATTGTTTGTCTTGTTTTTTGACCCAAGTATAAAACCCTCGTTGAAGGGTTGAAGGGGTGGGAAGAGGGTTCTGGTAGAAGGATACATCAAGCCACCGGGTTGGTTAAACAAAAACACCCGGACTTCCCCTAAGCTCAGGGATTTTCGTCCCCTGGTTGAAACATGTTCAAGAATAGCCCATGAGCCCATGAGGGCTGATTTTCTCCCAATTCTGCCCAGCCGCAGGCTTTGGCCTCTTTGGGCTTTGTGACTAGTTTGGCAGTCAGGACCCACGAACACCTACATGTTTCTCTCTTCTTGTTGTATTGTTTGTTTGTGTTTCTTTGGTTGGGTGGGGGGGGGGACGTGTTTCCAACGAGGACAACCCTGAAATGGAAGGGCAACAGGGCAGGACCAAGGAGGCTGAACAACAAGAAGATATGAAATGGCCGGAGAATACTTATTGGTCACCGGACTCTATACAGTGTTTGCGAAAATGTGACTCCCCTCACCCTCCACCCGATGAGAATGGGAAACACAGGCAAACTTGGGAGGAAGTTGGGAATGTTTTGATAGGATTGCTCGTTCCATCTCGCTCCCACCTCATTCCTGCAACAACGTAAGTTCCCACAAGTACCTCATCTACCTATATTTATTTATAAATACACAGAAATGAATATTCTACAAATTGTGTGTGAGCTGTGCAATTGTGCGCATGCCCTGCACAGATGCACAAACCTATTATGATGGACCTTCAAGAGGGCCTACTTCAATATAGGTCTAGCTATAAACACTCTAATAATGCATTTTAGGGGCTTTCTCCAAAGATGTGATACATTCGTCGCATGCAAAAACATAGTCGGATTCTCATATGCCCGGGAACCCTTCCCACGGTAGTGTCAGAAGCCCAGCGGCGGGGCAAACACAGCTCTTGTTCTGGTGGTTCATTTTGAACGGCCCTTCCCAAAAAAGGAAAGAACACATGAAGTAAAGGGGTCAATAAGTTAATAAGTGACCCATGTTCGGCCCCAACTTCCAAACTCCACTGCCCTAACAAAAGAGAAGGCACTGTAAAAGACATCCGCACACGGATTTCTATGACGCGGACTGACAGCCCTTCATCTGTCAGCTGCCTTCTGGCTGTACCTTGACCCTTCTGGATTTGATCCCAGGGCCAGTTGTTGTGCCTTAGACCCTGCACCAGCATCCTGCAAACGGGCTCTGTAGGCGTGTTTTATTCCCCTGCTCTGGAGGGTTCCGCGTAAGCAAACTTCTTCTATCACCTTTTTGACAATTGGGTGTGGCTCAAAATAAAACAGGAGGCGCAAAACGCAGGTTTTGGTCTATGTTTCCACTTACCAGGGCTCCCCACCTACAGGTTTTTTGAGCCACAGCCAATGGGACGCCCAACCGTTTCACTCACTTAAACGAACCCTCGCGCAGTTCAGCCCTTACCGCCGATTTTGCAGCGGCGGATTTTGCCCAAAGGAGGCTTGACCTTTGAGACGCGGCAACTCAAAAAGGACATTTAGAAAGTCCGTCCATGCGCCAAAGTGACAAAAAAAACACATGCTGCTATCCCTGGGTTTCACTTACATGGAGGGCACCCAAAATTTATGGCGAAGGCCTGGGTCCCGCAAGATTTGCATTGGTTCCTGGGTTCATTCCTTTTTGCACTACGGTTCCCGTTTCTATTGACCCATGGGACCTCCCCTCTGGACCTCCGGACATGATGACCCAGGGTTCTATTGCTGTTTAACTACCCCAAGGTAGACACTTAAGCCTAGGTGTTCCCATTTGGACCAAATCCACCGCCCCTGGGTGTAAGGGTTGGGGTACCAGACAACTAAACTAAGCCATACTGAAAAAACAAGTCCGCAATTATTTTAGTCCCTTGTCTTAAGTCTCACTTCCTGAGTGGATTGGCAAAAAACAAAGGCCCACACTTTTCTTTACCACTAAAATGGTCCAAACCCAAAAAAGTGACCAACATCCAGCAACTCAGGGAGTGAGCAGAAGGGAACTTGCTCCATCAAACCCGTTTCCCCGTCCTTGTAGTCCAAAAAGAAAGGTGTTTTGCCTTGGTTTACTGAACCCCGGTAGTCAAAAAAAAAGGGGTTCCCCTTGGTTACCCCCCTTGCCTTAGTTCAAAGAAAGCGGTTTTCGTTACCCACCGCCGTCGAGGCGCTGTTGATCATGTCCGCGTGCCCGCATTGCCAGGCCCCCGCCAGGGCCTCCGCCGCAGAGTTGTGGGCCAACTCGCAGGCGCCGTCCCCGGAGTTGAAGCCGGGCACGTGGAAAAGCATGTAGTTGGTGAACTCCTGCGTGGAGTTCAGGGGGCGGTGGTGCAAGTGAAGTGGCGGGATGCTTGAAAAAAGATTTGATCCAGAAAAGTGCCTGCTTCTAAATGATAAGGTTGATGAACATACTCCCTGAAAGGCTGGCCATGGGTCATTTGTTCCATTCTGGGGGGAATATGGTCATCCCATGTAAAGGGCCTGCGTGCTGATTGGTGGCTTTTGGTGGCTCAGTGGTTTGGATTGGTTTGGTGTTCTAATGCAAGGCTTCAATCGTGGCTTGGTGGCTTGGAGCCCGGTGGTTTGGTGGTCTTCCGGGGTTTCCCATTTATCCTGTACATGTGGCACCAAATTGGGTTGATCAAAGGCCCTTTACATGGGATGATCATGTAAACCACAAAAAAGACGACTTTCACCACTAAATGGGAAAAGCTTCTCATCGTCATTTTGGGGCCAGGAATGTTGATCAACCGCCCCCCCATATCAGCCTCACTGGAATTGGTGGTGGTGGTTTCCCATGTACCGTCTACAAGAGATAGGGGTCAAATCCCCAAACCACCAATCCAAGCCAGCAAGGAGGGGTTCGGATCACCTGACATAACACAAGGCCTCAAAGATTAGAATTGGGTTATAGATTGGTACTGTAAAATGATTACGTCGCCTCCTGATTCCCCCTTCCTCCGCAAACAGCACAAAAGCATGCCGGTTTTCACACATATGCTGCGGGTTGTCCAAACCGCCACAATGCATTCTTTAAGAGGCCCCGTCATCAGCAATCTGATGCCTCACCGAACGACCACAGTCCCAAACTTTCTGAAGGCGGACCCAGGCAATGTGTCTTGCTGATTCTCAGCTGGGAAGGAAGGGAGCCAACCTGAACTGAACCAGCCTTTCCTGCAGAAGCCGCAGGTTCATTCTCCACAGATCCCCTACTGCTTCCCTCTGAGAACCAGTTCAACTTCGCGAGACTCCTCCCAGGTCACGGTCTCAGAGCAGCTGGCGTCGATCTTCTTGAACCTCACGCAAGACTCCGCCCAGTTCAAGTTGGAACATGACACAACTTCCCTTTGAGGCTAGAGCTCTTACCATCTGTCTTAACCCCCATTCATGACAAGTACAGGGGCGGCTTGACCAAGGCACATCTGGCCCATTCTCATGTCCCCTTGGAACAACACCTGAACCATGGTCTCTTTGAAAGGCACATGCTCTTCTAAAGGCTTCTCCTAGCTTGACCAAACCGAAGGACCGACTGCAAGCAGCTAACAACTTGCAGCCACCGGATGCAAATTCAAGAGTGCCAAAGCCAAGTACCGGGAAGTTTACTATACTTTCTTCGCACAGAAAGAAATGCAAGAAACGGACAGTTTCGTCCTAATGTCTCATGACCAAAACGTAGAGGACACCAACAAGGTGTTCCATCTACCCTCTACATAAACCAGACCCCCCCAATTGAGGGTTACCTGAACTGTGTAGTTACTGCCCCCCTGTGCAACAAGCTCTTAACCTGTTGCAGCTTCATTCGTGGGCAAACCAGCACATGTTCAACAAGTTGAATGTCAAAGATCCAGCCAAATGAGGCAGCCAAGTCCGGATTTTGCTTGCAAAACGATAGGCGTCCAAGCACATGAGGCCAACTCGCCCCAACCAACGGGGTGTCCGCAGCCACGGGGCAGGGTCCGCAGCTCCGCGTCCCACCGCTCCGAGGAGAAGTTCTCGGCGCCTTTGCCGGTGAGGCGGCTGAGCAGGGCATCCACGAACCTTGGCTCTTTGATTCGCTTGTTTAAAACTTGGTTGACGTTGGAAGGGGAGCATAAATCTAAATTCTAGCAGTTAAGTGGGGGGTTTCCCACTCAACCATAAGCACAAATTTGCTTGTTCTAGGTCCTCCAGTGTCCTGAAGGCCTTGGTCTCGGTTCTTTTTGATTTGACTGGAGGGGGAGCTTGCCGTGAGTTGGAATTTCTGTAGCCGTTTGGGTTCACTGTTTCACCCAGATGGCCGGCATGGAAATCCACGCAGCACGAGGGGAGAAACGGGCACCCTCCCAAGAACCGAGCCCCGACGCGGAAGTCTCACGGCGTGAAAACCCGAGCTCTCACCCCGTGTTTTTGGAAGGGCCCTCACCGGGCAGGAGACTGAGAGGTTCGAATGAGGGTACTTTTTTTTCTGTTGTCTATTTTACGAGGGAACCCTCCCCCCAGGGTAAAAGGGCACTACTGGGGGACCGTGTTTTGAAAGGGAACCCTTGGTTTGAGTTGCGTGTTTTAAACTTAGTTGACGTTGGAAGGGGAGCAAACAAAATAACATTTAGCAGTTAAGTGGGGGTTTCCCGCTAAACCACAATAAGTAAAAAAGGTAAATATTTGCTTGTTCTAGGTCTTCCAGTAGAGAGGCTAGAAAACGGGTACCCGATCTTTTTTTTTCCTTTTGTTTTTCGTAGTCTATTTTAGTAGGGGAACCCTCCCCCAAAAAAAGGTAAAAGGACACTACTGGGGAACCCATTGTTTTGAAAAGGGATGTAAAAAGTGGGATGGAACTCCCTAGTTCAGAGTCTGAGACACCGTATGGCTCGGAACTGCCAGGGAACTGCTGCTCGTCCAGCTTCACCGGTTGCCCTTGGTCGTCCTGGAACTGGTCCTTTAATCGCCGCAGCTCCTGACAAATAAATCGAGAGAGGGCGGCTTCATTCCCAAAACCGTATCCTTTGGAGTGTTCCAACTGGGCGTATCAAGGCCCCCGCATTAAGATTGGCTCAAAGGGCAGCGCAACAGGTTTTGGGGATTGCTTCGGAGTCCATGGAGTTGGTTGGAAGATCTTGGCTCAAGCATGGGAGGTTCAACCCTGGTCCAAGCGATCCCGATTGGTGCAAGAAACTGCAAGGAACGCCTCGGTTTTCTGTATTGACGCCTGTCCGACGGGCCCGGGCCTTCAGTGGAAGGCCCATGGGGTTGATCGCGAAGACTGAGTTCTCGGCTTCATCCACGGGGTCGCTCATAGCGGCCGGGCCGCCGGCGCTTGCCCCCCTCCCCCTCGCGCGTTTTCGCGCGTTTTCACGCTTAAGCGATCTACAAACCCTTGAGCCCGAAATTGGGCGGACGACCAGCACAAATGGTGGAAAGTAAGGAGTCCGACTGTCATTTTTTGTTCTGCCCGGCTCAAGAAATGATCATCGTGCCAGGCTTGCCCTCTGGTTTATGAGTTGACCAGTTTCAAAATAACCCTGCCGGTTACCTTGGCGCAGCAAGCCAGTAAAAGCTTCCCCCACGTGCCTCCTACTTTGCCGGTGACCGCTGCTGAGGCTGCCTTTCCGGCCAGCGCGCCACCAACACCCAAAGCGAGCGTCATCTCCTGAGCTAGCCGTGCACCGCTGTGGATAATAAGTCGTCGCTCTGGGAGTCAAACCGATATAAAAACCATGATTGTCATCATCGAAATTGGGTCCCAAGGCGATGTTTTTAGTGCTGGGTTGAACCCTAGGGCTTCTATACCAAATGATTGCCCCCAAGGGGGGGGGGGGGTTCCTTGCAGCTTTTTCCCTTGTGGTTTGCCATTTTTGGTTCATTTTTAGTAGGGGTCCCAAAAGGTTCATCTTTTATTTCCAGGTCCTTTGGGCAAGTGAGTGTAAGCCCACATCCGCCAGACAATGTTTGCAAAATACACCCACGCCCACAAATCAGCACGACCCCCACCAAGTCCAAACAAGTCAGTAAGTTTTGAGGAAGATCCATTGAACCCTTCCACCCGCTAGGCGTATCACCAATTGAGCAGGGTCTCTTTGGACTGAGTTCTAACCTTTTGCCGAAGCTGCCGGCATCTTTTCGAACTGGGCAGGCACCGCCTGCGAGGCAAAAGAATTCACACCACTCAACCATCCAATTCCTGATGCCGTTTCGGGCAGAGGCCTCTGTCAAATCCAGTTGTGGGAGCGAATGACGAAGCAATGCAAAGCCACATGAAGTCTACTCTCCAGCAAGCTGAGTGGCCTTCACATTCCCCTCAGCCTGTCATGCTGCAAGACAAGGCAAGACAAGCCTTGATCTTGTGCAGCTGGGAAGACCAATCCAGACTCAGCTGCACCGCATCTTGCTGCGGCTTCTCCAGGTGAGTTGTGTGCCTACGGCGACTCACATCGTGGCCCAGGGGTGCTGGGACCACTCTGCCCCGTGCAAAAAAAAGGCGCCGCAAGTTTGGAACATGTTGGAGCCATCCCAGACAGTTGGCTTGCTCTAGAGATTCCATCGTAACCGTGTAAAGGGTGCTGTTCCCTTTGTTGGTGCAATGCTTGCAAAGTCCTTACCAGCATGCCTCGCCAGCCCTGATGCAAACTGACACCGCGCAGCAAAACACGGAAAAGAACTGCGCAACAAGGAAGGTAGCTGAACTCAGTGACCTAGCTGATCATTCGGGCTTGGATGCATTCTGGGCTCACCTGCGGCTATAGGCATATTCAAGTCCATGCCCGCCTGATCAACCTACGCAACACTCACAACCACATGATCTCCTAGGTGTTTTTTTCCAACTGGAAAGCGTTCGGCTCAGGCCCGAAAGCCCTTCGGCTAAGCAGGGAAGCTGAAGGAAGCGTTGTTTTCGTCGGGCCCCCAAAAAGAAATCCGCCCGCGACGCCATGAGACGACCCGCTTTGAGACGCCAAAACGCCGACCCGCCTCGACAGCTCCCTGACTACCTCGTCGTCCAGCTGCTTCAGAGCTGTGCAGAAGCTGCCATGTGCGCGTGTCGCCTCGGATCCGTGCGAGCTTTGGGCCTTCAAGGGACGCGCGTGACCTTGGTGCCATGAAACTGCCACGCCCCCAAAATCCAGGGACTGCCAAAGGACCTGGAAACAAAAGCTGAGCAGATTCCTTCCAGGTGTGCCCTTGAGCCATCTTACCGTTGCCAGTCTTGGCAGATACTCATGGACGTTGTCCTATCCTGCGCCATGCAAATGCACGAATTGTCATTCGCCTGGCCTCAAGTGATGTGGGCCACTGAGTGATACAGGGGGAGGCCTCAAACAAAAAACACATACGAGGGAGTCAATATAATGGAGGGAATCGCTAAAACAATTTGAGTGTCAAAAACACTCCAAAAGTAGTTTCTATTGATTTAGTATTGTAGTATTTGTTCAGTATTGCCTAGAGTATCTCAGAGTTGCCTTAGGGCTTGCTTAGGATTTCCCAAGATTCAATTTTTTCAGGGGACACACATGTTGCATTGAGTACCGTCTTTTTCTCCAGAACTTGAATAATTCTGAATTCTTTCTCAAATTTGGTACCCTTTGATTTATCAGTGACCAGTGTTGACCCCTGATTAATGCACGCGACGGTGTCCGTTCGGTTGGGCACGCTGCTGTTCCAAGTGCAGCTCGTGACCAACAACCAGGTGGTTCACAGGGGTCAACAGTAAGGACATGTCCTGGAGCCTGGAGCTCTTTTTAGTCCACGGCTGTTGCCCGAATGCTGAATGATTTGGACGAAGCACTGTGATTCAACATGATTCAACCATCCAGCCTTCATTTCATGGGTCGTGGCGAGCCCATGGGTTGACAATGATGCACCAGAAAGTAATTACCCCAAGAGCCCATCATGAGGTGCCTGCAACCAGTACACCAGCAGAACTGCCTCACGCATGTGCCAAGACACGGAGCTGAAGAATGCTGCTTGTATGCGAGAGTCGTTGATCTCTGGCTGCAGGACAATGCGCTCATACCTGCAGGACGATCAGCCGTTCATTGGCTTGCTGGTTCGAGGTTCGGTAGGAGGGATTCATGGGGATCCACTGGGAAGTCATCCCCTTTGCTGAGACCCAAGTGGCAAGCTCAAAGGGCTAAGCAGAAAAGCAGAAAAGGGTGTGACTGGACTGTCCCGTTTCTGTGGAGTTGTCGCCCTAGGCGAAACTGGCTTGGGCTCCCGGGAGCCCACTAGAGTTGCTATCGCCGCAAGCCGGCGCTTGAGGCCCCCCAAAATCATCACATCCTACTAGGGACCTGTGCTTCCCTCCAGGCGCATGTGGGTTCCTAAGTGGGTCAATGTCAGGAAGGGGCCCTGATGTGTGTTTGCAGAAGCAAAAGGTTTGGCAAAGCAAAAAACATATCATTGACCTTGAACCACCCATCAGAAAATTCTATACCACAAGTGCCGCCAACAAGTGGCACTGCTGTTTTCAGGCAAACACGGCTTAGCCCGCGTTGACGTCCTCTCTGTACCAAGAGCTGACAAAAGCGACCAAATGTTGCAAGGGTTGGGTAGAACAAGAAAGAGCTTGCTGCCAAATTGCCTTTGCATGATATAGGCATCCATATCCAACGCAACCGCCGTCGTCAACGGCAAGGTTCGGGAGAGGTCAGCTGAGTGCCTTGCGGCAGAAGAAGCCTTGCAGAAGCTGAGAGGCAGCCAGTTGAGTCAAAGATCTTTGTTTCATGTCTCATAGCATTGGCCGCGGCTGAAAAGTATGGCGTTGATGTCCTTCTGGACGGAACGCAAACGCCCAGTTGCTCGGTGACACAAGGAGCCCTTCTTGGGGTGATCATTCTTAGGGAGACGCCATTGAACTGGGAAAATCTTCAACGGCTTTGCCCATCTCACTTGCCCTCTGCTTCAAAACTACGACCCCCGCTTTCTGGGCGGGCTGCGGCAGCTCGGAGAAGCTTCAAAGAGGTTGGGTAAGCGAAGTACCAATCTGCGAAGTTGCCTTGGTGTGGCAACTGGTCCGAGCTGCCTGGAAACCGCTCAACCATTGGTGAAATGAGGAGTCAATCCCGTGCTTTGGTCCCATGTCGGCCAAAAACACATCTTACATGTCGGACTCGCCCAACCAAAACGCCGCTTCCTTCAACACCAAGCCGAGGCCACCGAGCCGAGTCGGCGAGGTGCCAGTGCGCTGCTCGATGGGCTGGAAGCAAACCTTGAGCTCCTCTGCCAAGTACCGCGTGGCTTCCTGCCGTTCACCGTGCTTCCCCGCACATGGAGCCGGACTGGAGTCCCAAAACCCATTTCCTCCAACAAGGCCCTGGGCTCCATGTGAGCGGGTGGGTATGCGTGGCCAGGGCTCCAAACCCCGAGAAGCAAAAGTGCTAGCTTGGTCCTCTCTGGGAAGATGTGCCCCTCTAAGACTCTAAGAAGCTGACGGATGCTATGTTCAGCTTCCTTCTGTGGCCGATTGCTAATTAAATCACTACTCTGCAGGGCGTCACTGTACATGCCCAAGGCGGGCAACCAGAATCCTCAAATCCGCGTCCCCAGTCCAGCGTCCCTTCAGGAAGTTGCGCTTCGGACTTCGGAGATGCTGGTAGGTAGAGCAAGCCTACAAAACAGGGGCTTGTCGCGCACATCTTTTCCTCCTGAGATTGAAAGGAAAACCACCTTGGGTTCAATGAACTAGGCCGCGCCTCCCGCAGGGCGGTCTCCGCCCGCGCCAGTGCGGCGTCCACGGCAGAGTCCAGCTGGCCTGCGGCTTGCTCGCGGCTTGCGACCCGATCGGCACAAGGCTGGCGATCGGACCACCCGGAAAACAGGGCTCTCGCAATGTGAGTCTTCTGTTCTTATGGATGGTCAGAGGCTCGGAGCAATTTTGCCAAGTGCCTTCACTTTCAGAAGGATCTCCTTTTGCGGCACCCCTTTTGGGGTCCGTTTGCTAGAAAATGTATTTCCCGTGGGGGCTAATTTGGAGTCCAGCAGGGGATAGTGGGCACTTCCCTCTTTCAGGCCCCTTAAGATTTGATTGATGGGGGGTTGCAACCTGTCATGACCCCTGTGCAAGAGTGATGGTTTGAGGCACCCCCCCGCTGGTCTACGTGCATACCTTCGTTCTGGAACTGGAAAGAACCAATTTCCATCGAGCTCTGGTGAGCTTGTTATAGTTTGTCCAGGTCGATCCATGCTTGTGCAGAGTAGTGGCAAAGTTTGTGCACCCGCATGCTTAGTGAGACGATGGCTTCCCCCCAAAGCTTGAAACATGGTCGATTTGGTTCCTGGGCCGCGTTGTGGAACTAGTGGGTGGAGGTGTAGGTGTGTTTGTATGGGGGGTATTCCCTTTCAAGGCAGCAACAGGGTCCAAAAAAGCGGGTCATCTTTTTGACAACAGCCCGCCCCTGCCTTTGGCTACCACCAGAGTTTTGCCACCTGCGGCAGCAAGAACCTGAGTAACTCAGCTTCAGTGGACCCCGTCAACCACACCAAAACACCTCCAAAAGGAAGAGAACCAGCAAGAAACCACAAGCCAACAGCCAATGTGCGTACATATATTCCAGAACTTCTGATAACTATCCAGCCAACCAACCAGCCAGCGAACCAACCAATCAAGCAAAACACGCAAACAAGATAACACAAACATAAAGAATAAAAGTAAGCAAACCCAAACCCACCAGCGCATGAAGCCAACAAACCAAAGCGCCCCACCCGTCCCAAACTCCGCTCTTTAGACAGGTCACTACTTTCTCACTGTCCAATTGTCGCCTCGCCGCGATACTGGCGGAGCTCTTGCCACTGTGGACCTGTGGACGGAGCGTTGGATAGCAAGACGGGCCCAGAGGGTAGGAAAACGGCTCTCTGTTCGACGGGCAGCCAAAAACGACTTAGGAAAAAACCCGTAACCATTCCTTTTGGACCACGTTTAGTGGACTAACAAATCATTGAGCTCGTGAGGTGAGCCCACCCGCGTAGAGTGGTATTCCTTTCGTCGATGCTTCTTCAGAGTCAGTTTGTAATTTAGTGTGGGTTGTGAGTCAGCTGACCCAGTTGCCCATTGGAAGTGGCGTCGCTGCTGAAGACGAGAGTCTTTTGAACTTTCTCACGGAGGTTCGAATTCTCCCTGGATCGT